TACATTCTCTCCAGCTTCTATCTCATTTATTGTCCGTGGATGTATGCATTTGCATTCTTGTGATCTTTCCACTCGATAAATTCTCCTTAAAAGTGTTGTCAAGTAGACTCACTGGTGGCTTGGTCTCTTACTTCAGAACCAAAACCTTATATCTACTGAGTTTTTCAAGAATAATTTGTTTGAAGAAACAAAGTCTAAGCATAGTAGAAACAGCTTTTATCTCTAGTAATTACAGGATTTTTCAGTGTCAAAACTTGGCTTTCATCCTAGTAACCAAAATGTAGGCAACTCATTTTGTCCTATTAATTCATATGTTTACTTGTCAAATAAAGTAAATGCTTGTATAATTCTTGATCATGTCTCCATATCTCTCACCATGGACTATTAATTCAGGATTAATAGTCTAATGTCTAATGTCTAATCATAATTTTCACAGGCCATTGACATAATAACATCCAGGCTTCGTGATAACTTTGAGGAATTGTGATTTGCGCCATTCCTTGCAACCTAAAGAGGAAGCTATTGATGCACTTCAACAGTCAGTTTTGGGGAAAGAACAGGTGTTGAATGGTCATGCCAAATCCTATGGTCAATGTGGTTAACTTTTTCTTGCAAGGTATATTTGACCATGTCTTCTGAGTGCGACTTTATGTTTCCAGTGATCACCTATGAGCACTTATTTTTATCCAATTCAGTTGCTCACAATTTAATTTTACTGTTTTCTCTTGAATTTCTTATAGCTTATACCTTTGTTTTCAATTCTTATTTAATGATAGAATTAATCATGTTGCCCTTTGGTGTTTATCTACACAATAAATTGTCTATATCTTAGATATTGGAAGAATTGCGAGGATTACTGCAAGCTGCAAAAGAGAAAAGGCAAGCTTCATTGGCTGAACTATCAACTAAACATCAGAAGGTAAACTAGCAGTCAGGTGCCTCAAATCCTTATTTTTCTTTTCCTACTTCTTGTAGGGCAAAATTTTCTTCTCTTCCTGTTTTGTTTCCCAAGAAATTGTTGCCTTAGCTTCTTATTGTCTCTGTCTTCGTCATTAGAATGTAGAGAGTTTGGAGGCACAACTGGCTGATGGTTTGTCTCATAGAACCAAGGCAACTGAAACAATTTCTGCCCTACAGGTAACCTGCTGTAGCTTACATTTTTTTGACGAAAAGAAAAGTTGCTCTTAAGAAAAATAGTGTTCTCCAATTTCCGTCTTTTATTGCCAAGTATTTTCATACACAGAGGCTCAGATAGACTAACCACTATTGAACATACTTTTGCAGGTGCTAGTGGCAGAGAAAGAGACAAAGATTGCTGACGTGGATGCAGCTTCATCTGGTGAAGCTGCACGACTAAGAGCTGTTATAGAAACCACTAAAGGAGAACTTGCTCACTTGAAACAAGAGCACGTATGTACACAAATAGTTAGAACTAATAGTTCTCTTCTTGAGATACAAAGAAGGACTACTTGCTGTTCTTCAATGTTTTAATTTGACCTGATTATGAACCACTATAGGGTTGGTAATTAGTAATTTAGTAGCCTCTACCTTAATTTTGCCCTGGTAAAGTGCTCCCAGCCAATCAATTTAGAGGGATGAATTCTCTGACCTTAAGAAATATGATAATTCTGATAATTAACAGATCTCTTACGTTCTGAATATATTTTATGGTTCTCGACTTAAATGTCTTTTTTAAATAAATAGAGAGAAGCTTAGGATTCCAGCAGGCCCTTCTAGAGGGACTGGCATCTAATAAAAACTAAAAATAGAAAAAGAAATCCTAAATTTGACAGCTTATATCTGCTTAAAGTTACTTCTGATAATGAGAAAACCAGTGTTTTATCCTTGTCTACAGCTAATAAACATGTGTGCTTATTTTTGTTGTTGTTGTTGTCTTGCTGCTGATGCTGCTGCTGCTGTTGTTACCATAAACCATGTGATATTCAGGAGAAGGAAAAGGACAGCTGCGAAGCTGCCTCACAGGCACTGAAATCAAAACTGGAAGTTGCTGAGAGCAACTGCATTCGAGTTGAAACAGAACTAGCTCAAATGAGAAGTATAACTGCATTCTGGAGAGAACTTTCATAACTTTAATTTGATTATGATTTGCAATAGAATTGAAAGTCTTTGTGCTCTTTTGGTTAGGTCAGCTGGTATAAGAGACATCCATGCAATCCCAGCTGCTAAGTACAAGAGACGCTGATCTTGCCACTGCCAAAGAAGAGGTATTAGTTTTTTTTCTTCAATTAGTTCTTCCTCTGATCCAGATATAAGCAATTATAATTTTGAGGTTATGAAGAATGTCACATTACTGTTGCCAATTCTTATACACCACACAATCTCATTGCCTACTTTTATTTTGTCATTCCATTTCTTGGTAACTTCTGCAGAACCTCTGC